TCATGATCCCTTGCACCCAAATATGTGTCATCAATCTACCATCTGACGGTCCATCTTCAAATGTTCTACTTTTCCAAATCTGGCTCAGATTGTATTGTAGTCGTTCCCGAGTTAAGCCAATGTACAGTCAAGTCGGGCTGGACTACCCACGTGACCGCCGCCGCCCCCTGCTTCCTACGTCCACTCGGCAAGCGTTGCGTGATCTCTCGTTGTTACTAGCGCCGCCGGTGAGCACCGCTGCCTCTGTTTGCCCCCCTCCTTTAATCCTGGCGGGCAGCCCCCACTGTCAGCCTCAGGGCTTAAGTGAGCCTTATTAGTGCTGGATGAGATTGACATTGACCCCATCATATCCTCATTAGTGTTAGAAGAAAATTTCACGGTGATATGTCTATACTATTGGATATGAATATTTTCTTAGATGCATTTCAATGTTTATTAATATTTCGAATATGAGTATATTGATATTATTTTGATAGTGCTTCCTATTAAGAGCCCCAAGTCTTATTCCCGCCTTGCCCCCGCCCCAAAGAAACTCAAGGCTGACCGTGAGTGATGTTAGGGGTTTGGGGCAGCATTGGGTCATGCATGCGCTCTCCCTTGCCCTCCTCTATATAGCGACTCGCAGCCCTCAAGGGTTTTGTGGGTGTTCCCCCGCTATTGGTCTTCAACCAAATTAGCAGGGGAGTTCTGGAGCTCTTTTCGGCCCAATTTCCTCTCAGTTGTTCACTCTTTTCTGTCTACAATAATTCCCACTCATTTAAGTGTGTGTGTGACCCTAGAGCCTCACATATATACGGTAATGCACAAAAACGCCTTTTTGTCAATAATCGATAGCTGACCCTATAATTTCCCATATATATGTATAAAGATCGCACCGAAAAAACCTTTTAGCAACTATTGTATGATGCCTTTTGCCCCGTGATAGGGTCGAGCTGAAGGCGAGGTACTCATCCTTGATTACAACTCGAGGTACGTGCACCAAAATCCCCGAAATATGATTAACTCTTCAATCATAAGTATGCCCACACAATTCCAAAAACCAATCACTTAAGCTCTGCATCACTGGAGGAGCAATTCTCATATTGATAAATCCATGACTTTCGGCATGCTTTTGCTAAGCCTGAAAACCATCTTTACGATATCCTAGTAATATTTGGTGATCACTAAGCAGACCAGTTTAATATCATGAGTATGAGCCTGATCTAAGGTCTAAGGATATAGACATATATGATGCATATGAGATATATAGTGATGACATAAAAAAGACGATTTTCTGGCAGAACGTGTCTGTCCAATGTCAGTTCAACTAACGGGCATCCATAATGCCGGTTGATATCTCCATATCTATGACCGAAAAACACGGTCATCAATCAATATGTATGCCAGTCTAAATGTATGTGTTTACATACATTTTCTGATAAGGGGTGCATTTAGAATAATATATACTTGAATACATGCTGATGGTGTTTCACAAGCAAATTCATTAACAAATTATTACAATATTATTCATTGCACAAATCATGGAACAACAGAAAAATAAACATTTTATTGTGGCTTTTAGGCACAATCCCAATGTAGACATGTTACTATATAGATTAGTGAGAAGTATCGAATTGATGGTGCAGCGAGTTGCTTCAAAAGTCCGAACTGATGGAGAGTGGCGAGCCTTATATTTCAACATTCTCCTTCACGTCTAGGCTTTCTTAGTTTCTTAGACGTGGGATCGATCTAGGCCGCAGAATCTTTTTAAATACTACGCTAGCAGGATTTTGAACTCAAGATCACTTCACTCAGATACCTTATTCAATTCATGCTTCAGTCATTTGTTTCAAAAGTCCAAAGTAATGGAGGAAAGCAGACAATATATTTCAAGAAAAGGGTTAGCTTGCCGGCCGGCAAGCGTCACACACTGACACCGTATATTGTCTCTCCCGTCTCGGTCGCCGGCAGATGGTGCTCTTAAGTATAAACAAAAAAGATAAGTACATGTAAGAACAAAAGATTTGAGTGCATCGGCCAGTTTATTGAAGCTGGTGACTTTTGTCCTGTGCAACCATTTGGAGCTCCGCCCGAGCCGTGTGCTACCATTGGCTCTCCGGTTGCTTTCATGTGCTATCACGCACTTCTGCTTTCGCGTTAAAAACTTCAAATTTGACCCTCGAGACTATTCCCCTAACATTAATAGTGCTCAAGCTTTCCTCCTTCCAAACACCAGGCCATGGGCTCTCGCCGTCCTCCTCCTACCACCCTAGTATTTGTGCTGCTGCTATGCCTCTACTATGCGCCGCGCCGGGCCTTCTCACTCTTCTTCGACCTCAACTTCTCCAACCAAAGAGACGGTTCATCCATCGCCGTCGACGGCGATGCACTCGTCAGCACGTCGTGGCTGGAGCTGACAAAGAACACGCGTGATGAAAACATTCAGAGCAGCGTAGGCCGGGCATGGTACGACCACAAAGTGCCGCTGTGGAGCAGCGCCACCGGCGAGATGGCTAGCTTCACCACCACCTTCTCCTTCCGAATCACCCCGGACAAGGACAGCCTGCCGTTGACAGGCGACGGGATGGCCTTCTTCCTCGGGAGTTTCCCTTCGGTGCGCCCGCCCCGGAGTGCCGGCGGCGGCCTCGGCCTCCTCCCGACCGACACTAATGGGACAGGGGACGGCCGAATCGTGGCCGTCGAGTTCGACACTTTCTACAACTCCCAATATCGTGACATCAACGGGAACCATGTCGGCATCGACATCAACTCTGTAAACTCCACGGCGTCCACGAGCACGGCGAGACCGGGCAAGAACCTCACGTCGCTCCATGTTATGAAAGCCACCGTCAAGTACCAGAATGACTCCAAGATGCTGGCCGTTGGTCTCCTCATCGATGATGCCTTCTACCAGGTCAGTACAACCGTCGATCTGAGAAAATACTTACCGGAGGAGGTCTCCGTCGGTTTCTCCGCGGCCACTGGCGAAGTCGTCGAGCTGCACCAGATACTGTCATGGTCATTCAGCTCCACGCTTGAATCTCCACCTGCCGAACCCCCTCTCCCAATTCAAACCAGCAGCCGCAACATCCACAATAAGTTGGTACCGATCCTAGCATCTGTCCTAGTTCCTCTGCTTTTTTTGTTGGTCTGTGCGACCGCAGTGTTGGGATGGCGGCGACACAAGAAAAGAAGAGCAAATGAGGACAGCGAAGAAGAGTGTGACGACAGAGCTGACCTCGAGAGAGGTGTGGCTGCCGGAGGCCCCCGACGGTACATGTACCACGAGCTGGTCACCGCAACGAGTAACTTCGCCGAGGAGGAGAAGCTCGGGCGAGGCGGCTTCGGGAGCGTTTACCGGGGTCACCTCACGCTCACACCCGTAGCTGCTGTCGGTGGTGACCAAGACCGCCGTGCGGTGGCGGTGAAGGTCTTGTCAGCGGAGTCGTCGGCGCAAGGGATGAAGGAGTTCAAGGCAGAGGTGAGGATCATCAGCAGACTGAAGCATCGCAACCTTGTGCAGCTGCTGGGTTGGTGCGACAGCCGCAAGGGGCTCCTCCTTGTCTACGAGCTCGTCGCGGAGAGCAGCCTCGACAAGCACCTCTACAGCAAGGACGGCACGTATCTAACATGGCCACAGAGGTACAACATCATCCTCGGTCTGGGGTCGGCGCTGCGCTACCTCCACGGAGAGTGGGAGCAATGCATCGTCCACGGCGACATCAAACCGAGCAACATCATGCTCGACTCATCGCTCAGCACCAAGCTCGGGGACTTCGGGTTGGCCCGGCTCATTGACCACGGCGCCGGGTCAATGCAGACCACCAAGGCCGTGCTAGGCACCGTCGGGTACATCGACCCAGAGTTCGTCAACACGCGCCGCCCTAGCACCAAGTCGGATGTCTACAGTTTCGGCATCGTCCTCCTAGAGACCACCTCTGGCCGGCGGCCGGTGATCAAGACCGCGGAGAGGTCCTTCACGCTGCTCAGCTGGGTTTGGAGCCTGTATGGGAGGAATGCGATCCTTGACGCGGCGGACGAGCGGTTGAGGGGTGACGAGGCGGATGCTCGATGGATGGAGCGGGTGCTCGTCGTCGGGCTCTGGTGTGCACACCCAGACCAGGGCGAGCGGCCGTCCATCGCGCAGGCCATGCACGTCCTGCAGTCCGACGAGGTGAGGCTACCGGCGCTGCCGCTGCACATGTACAGGACCGTGCCGGATCCCGCGTCGTCTGGACCGTACGGGTCTTTCTCCGTTGACAGCTTGGGTTCCAGTTGCGTTCGCTCTTCTTCGGTCAGCATCGGCAACATCACCCATTTCTCTGAACGAAAATTCTAGAAAGAGTGCCACGGACTGATTTTACAGGGAGATGTGTCCTCCTCTCCATCACAAATTCATCCCACCTTGATTTTAGCTGACCCCACCTTTTGATTTTAACTAGGCCATGTCAGTCCGTAACTTCCTTTCCGTGCGAAATGGCCTGTAGATGTAGCAAAGCTCTTTCTCTGAGTCGTCCTCGACTGCGTTGCTATGACATTTCAAGGATATAGGTAGACTCACCCAGATTTGTAATAAGGACGTCTCTAGCTGATTTCCTAAAAGGCTAGAGAACTCCTAACCCGTATAACAAAAATGCTAGACATACAAAGATTTACAGGCTTTTACAGGCTCTTTTCATCTAACAACCAATCACAAACCTCCCCCCTTTGATTTTCAGGGGGTGGGCCGTCCCGCTCACCTATTGGCCAATGAAGACTAACCACCCTGTAAAAGCCCGTAAACTGTTTGTACATATAGCATTGCCGCCCGTATAAAGGAGTAAAAAGTTTACTCCTTGGCTCAGCGCGCGCCTAAATATACTCTGCCAAGCGTTGGACTAAAAAAACTTTGTCGGCGGAGTCGTCGCTGCAGGGGAGAAATGAGTTAAAGCCAGAGGTGAGAATTATCAGCAGACAGAAGCATCGCAACCTTATTTCAGCTGCTGGGCTGGTACGACAGCTACAGGGGTCTCCTTCTCGTCTATAAGCTCGGCACCGAGGGCAGCTTAGACATGCACCTCTACGGCAAGGATATCCGGTATTTGTCATGGCCGTAGAGGTAGAAGATAATCCTTGGCTTGGGATCCGTGCTACACTACCTCCATGGGAGTGCGAGCAGTGCGTCATGCATGACGACATCAAGCCAAGCAACATCATGCTTGACTCATCGATGAGCACCAAGCACGGGGACTTCGGGTTGGCCCGGCTCTTCAACCACGACACAGGGTTGATGTAGACCACCAAGGCCGTGCTCGGGACAGTCGGGTACATCTATCTGGAGTTCTTCAACACGCGACGACCATGTACAACTTCAGGGTCGTCCTCCTGCAGCGGAAAATTCGGTTACCCCCCGGTTCCTGCATTTCTCGCTACCCCGCGAGAAAGCTGCGTACCGAGCAAAAATATTCAATTTTTTTTGAAAATTTTGAATTTCAACAGCGATAGTCTGGTCAAGTAGGTAAGCTACCGTGGTCTGGTGGTAAACATGGCTAGGTCGAGTCCCGGTACTTTTTTGCTTACCAACTCTTAAATAAAAATTCAAAAGCACAATTGGAGATTCGATCCTACCACTGCGCCAACAGCAGCTTCATGAACTAATTGAGCTCAGTGCTAATATATTCCTAGCTCAGGAAATTTTGAATTCAAATTGCATTTAAAAAATTCGAGCGGTATTTCCTCGGAATTTCACGGTAACCGTGGTATCCGCGTTTCTCGCCCACCCTCGTATTTTCTTGGGATCCGGTAGCCAAAACGTTGGTGACAAGGCGGACGAGCGGTGGATGGTGCGGGTGCTTGTCGACGGGCTCTAGTGCGAGCACCCTGGCCGGTACGTCCTGCAGTCCAATGAGGACAGGCTGCGAGAACTCCCATTGCACATGTACAGGACTGTGCCGGGCCCTGCGTCGTCCTCTGGCCCGTATGAGGCTTTCTCCATTGACAGCTCCACCTCCAGCTCCAGTGATGTTTGCTCTTCTTTGGTAACACCGGCGACGGCGGTCTTTCTTCCGGCTCGTCCTCAACTGCGTTGCTACGACATTCCGAGGATCTAGCTAACTGATTGATCCAAATTTGTAAGTATGGTGACCATAATATGTAAGCATAACACTAAACTTAACGTTAGGGGCAACAAACATATATGTCACATTTGAACCAGCTGACAATTAATTTAAAGATGGTGGTAACCCCAACCTCTGCATTGTTATGATGCATACAACCGTTTCTTTTATTAAAGTTGACATAAGGCAATCGGGTCGAAAACATCAATAAATAAAGTACAAAACATAAGCAACCACAATACACTCATTATAAGATATGAATAAAGCATTGAGACTAAATCTACTTCTTCCGCAACAACGCCTTCAATAATGGATGAACACCCACACCTCGCCTTTGCCGCGTCTGGCCTTACACAACTAGGACACATATTTTCATTCTGATTGCCGAGACTAACCACTGGAG